AGAGGATTCCTCAGGATGTTGGTGATCTGACTGGAAAACTTATTGATCCTTTGATGGTTTTTCCATTAGTGCCTCACACCATTAGGAGCCAGTTAGCAGGAGTCTGGAGCTGGCCCATAGTTTTGCTCAGGGATGATGGAGATTGAATCTTTTGTGCCATTCAGTTTCCTTGTTCATCTGTTGTCTGCTCAGTGCAGTGTTGCTTGGCAATATGTCCACGTACCTTTGGAGAACTGGGAGAGGCAGCTTGGGCAGGAGCATTGTTCAGGGATGAAGACTTGCATCCTTAGCATCTGAAAGGTTGTGATTTGGTATTTTCCCAAGCTAACAACTCAGATTGAAACGTTTTACTATGTTACAGGGAGCTGGACTCGATGATCCCTGTGGGTTTCTTCGAAATTGTGTGCTCTGTGATTCTGTGAAGTGTAATGTGTCTGCTGGGGTGAAAGGGCAGCAGCAAGTTTTTTGCTTTGGTTGAACTGCAGAGGCAAAGAAATACTGATTAGTCTGTCAAATTGTATCTTTGTAGTGCATCCATAACAGCAATAGAATAGCAGTTGGACTACTACAGATGCACTAGAAATTAGAAAAAGAAATTTCATGTTATACATTCAAAGAGCTATGTATTTTATGCAACATTATATGTATTTTACAAGTATTGTTCTATTTACAATTCTAAGGTAGCTGTTACATTAAAGATTTTTATTTTCCTGTGGTGCAAAAGTGAAATCAAGGAACAAATGGTCATAGATTCAGACCTAAGGAAAACAAAGATAATTTTGAACACTGAGAGAAATTTAGCAACTGAGACTGCAGGGACTGAAGTAGCAAATGCTGAACTACAGACTCCTGAGAATTAGTGGGTGTGGGTTTGTGGTTTGTGTTACAGAGCAAGTTAGACCCCAGATGACCAGAATGATCCTTCTTGGAACTGCAGCTGCCCAGTGATGCATGCTGCAGTGTTGTAGTGTGTTTTTTCCACTAGCTAGACTGGAGGTGTTTGAGGTTGTAAAACAAGGAGTAGATGGGAATGGAAAGTAAAAAGGAAAAATGTATATGTTTCTGCAGCTGGGCTGCTTGCAAGGAGTCGGTTGTAAAGCTGGGAGGGCTCTGGCTTAAGCAATGAGTATTCAAGGCATGGTGGTCTTGCCTTGATCATCCAGACACCCTTGATACTTAAATCATGTTCCCTGGTTAAGATTTCCCCACGTTCAGAGATGTTATAATGTCTGCTGATGTCTGCCAGTTAAATTAGGATAGCTGTAGGGCCAAGTCTGTAACAGGGAAAACTTTTAAACAAAATCCAATCTGTAAAATAACATGAAACAGAAAAATAAACAGAAATTTTTTTAGAAAATCTCCAAGCCTTTGAGGGGGAAATAAAATAATAACTCCGCATAGTAACTTTTTTTCCTCTGAATTTTGCTTCTTATGGGAATAATTAGTTAAAACAGGGATAGTCCAGTGTAACAGAGTTCACCTCTTATGAGTCAGACTGAAGTCTAGCTACTATTTTTTGGCTACCTTTATATAGCATGCCTGTGTTTGTCATCACTCCTGTTAATTTTCTGATGTCAGAGTGAATCATTTTAGGAATGTTTATATCAGTTCTGTATGAAACCAGACAAGCTACAGCTTACTGAGCTTCTGAGGTTCACATTTTGTTGTCAGTTGACGAAGTTGAAAACCTTTTATTTCTTTTAATTTTTTCCCTTTAGAGGAGGGAAAATACATTGGTTGTGTTTCTTTCTTCTTTTTTTTCCCCTCATTTCTTCCTCTTTTCCAAACATACCAAGTCTTTAATGTGTTTTCTTGATCTAGGTAAGGGTTCATCTGAGTCTGGAGTAAGGATGGGCTGATGATCTGGGGTTTGTAATGCAGCTGGTCCACACTGGCAGGCAGTAGCATGAAAACAGGGTCTCTGCAGTGTTTCCAGTCCTGGCCAGGATATCTGCAAATCCATATTAGGATCATATCATGGCTTTTTCCTCAAAGAGAAAGCCTTCTTTGAAGGAGTTTTCTTTTATTTAAATAAACCCCACAATGAGCCTTTTAATTCCCCAAATCAGACACTTTGTTCTTCCAGCTGTGGCACAGATCTTCTTTGTAACTTTGGGCACTATTCAGTCCACCTACTACAGCACCAAACTCAGAAGATAGTGTTTACTGTGGTGCAGTATACTTGAGAGCAGCATCTCCACAGGAACATGTATGGAGATTTATTTGCAGAGCCACTGGGGAATATGTAACTTGGGCATCTCTTTCATCTCCTTCTGATAACAGATATTCTGCAGTGTTATCTTAGTGCATGCATTAGCATTTCCATGACAGCCTGTAATCGAAACCTTACATCTCTCCAAAGAGGCTTCACAATTCTTATGGAAGAGTAGTACAGAAGAACTGGATGCATTCAGGAATTAACTTTCCACTTGCTTGCTAGTTTTCTGTTGACTCACCCCACTCTATGCACCCCAAGGCCTAAAAAGAGTGTTTTAAAAATACTGAATTGTATTTAATACCATTAAAATAAGTTCAGTAAGGTTTGTCCTGTTTCTTGTTCTAGACTTGATTTTTGACTGGGAGTAGATACCAGTGATGTCAAATATTCAGGGTACTCTAAGCTAGAGGCACAGATGCTCATAACATAGTTTTCCTTTGCTTTATGTTATGCTCTCATATGCAGATTTCTCCACTGCTCATCTCCTAAAGCAGATTTTTGTACCCATATAGAATCATGGAATGATTCTGAAACAACTTGTGCTCCTGGTCTGTTATTCTGTCTCCATGCATGGTGCTGAAGACAGGAGAGCACTTCCATCTTCTCTATAGCTGTTTTTTATTTCTTTGAAGACAGTGATCTCCTCAAGCTTTCTCCTGTGTAGGTTGCACAAACATGGTCCCTTTTTGACCTCACCTTGTATGTCAGGTTGTCCAATCCTCTCATTGTTTTGGTGGCCCTTTGCTGGACCATCTGCATCCTTTCTCTCTCTTGAACTGAGGGCATTTCACTCCATGTAGCCCATATGGGCATGTTTCTTCTTATAAGACTCAACAGCATGATAAGATTTTTTCAGAACTCTCTGAAGATCTATCAAATTCAGTTGTAAGTATCAAAATAGGTTTCCTAAAGTTTAAAGAGAAATAAATCTCACTTTTATTGGATAATTTTTCAGAGTAGTACAGAAAGGAACTGGTCACAAGGGTAATGTAAAGTATAAAAGGTTTGAACCTATTCTTGCTGGAGACAAGGGGTATTCTACCATTAACTTCATGGAAGGAGGGAATGACAGACAATTTTATAGAAGATGTACTGAACTGGTACTGTGGATAGTTAAATGAAGAAAATCAGTCAACCTCCTGTGAAACAGAGAGCCCTGCAATAGACCAGGGTGAAAAATAAACCCTGCTAAAGGCTCTTACAGAAGCCTCCAGGAGAACAGATGTTTTTACTACCAGTATACAACTTTCTACCTGAGAGGCTGATTACCTGCTTTTATGTGGAGAATTGGTCTTTGATATTTTTGTAGGAAGACATTGCCACTAGATATAGCAAACCCTGGACTCATTGTGTGAAGTTTGCCATTTCCCTTAATGCCATTTTGTTTTTGAAGTCTGAAACTTGCTGAAATAATTGGGACTCTAGACTTCTCTACCCCATTTTTATAGGAAAAGTTGGAAGATGACAAGAAGTTAAATACGAGTCTGTCTAGTAATCAGCAATCTTAACAAGAGTGCTCTTTCCCTTCAGGAAAATGGAATGACTAGCTGGGACTTTGTATTCCCTGTTTAGGTTTGCCAAGGTGTAGATAATACTAACCTTTTATCTGTGTCTGCTGTTAAATAAGGAACTGACCCTCAGCCCTGAGGCCAGTGGTTTTGCACTCCACAACAGATTATCTTGGGAACACTAATGGCAAAGGTCCATAACAGAGCCAAGAAGTGTCTTCACAAGCACAGTGCATGATTGAGTATTTGGTGCTTGGGTTTGCTACCTGGACCTTTTATTTATAATATAGATGTGTTTCTTGAATTTAAGCCCTCTGCTCAGAACTCATATTTGTCTTTAGCAGTAGGGGAAAAAAAAGAGACAGGAGCATCATCTATTAGGTATTCGTTTCATGATGGAGCTTGGATCAATCATTAACAGGTTCTAAGAAAGGCATCAAAATTCAGTAGTAATATCTGTTATCAAAAAGAAATCAATCGTGTTGGTTTAGAGAAGAAAAGCAAAGAATCTTTTCTTGAGTAATAGTTGCTTGTCCTGTTTATGTGTGCAATTATTTGGTGTACCTGCAGAAGCTGTCCAGGAAGTGCATTTAAAATGTCCTTGCAGCTAACAAGTAACAAAACTTGGGGGGGCACTTTAGACCCTTGACTTGGCTTGTCTGGGGCTTCTTAGATACCGTGGTGTGGATAAGACTGTAAATATGGTGGCTGCATAGTGATTTTTGTGATGTGCCACACAATCTGGTGCTTTTCCTTTGCAAACTGTAAGCTCTTGTGAAGTGCAGCAAAATCTCAGTTTCCATTTAAAGGAAAGAATCAGTTGTGTGAGAATGATCAGCTTGAAAACATGGACTCTAACATTCAAGAACTAGAAATCTCTTAGATGCCTTGATTTAGGAGTGATGAGGTGGTTCCTGATTATGAATGATAAGTGTTGATAGTAGAGCGAGTATTTCCATGCTTTTGTGTCCTCAGTTGGTATAATTTCTGAGTAATGCTTAGTGAAGTGACTGTTCCAAATTACACCCCCAAGCAAACACTGAAACTCCTCTGTGACCAGAAGAAAGGATTAAGTCTCACTGGAGACTAGACATGCTTGGCTTTCCAAACTATATTGATGATAGACTTGCTTTTTAAATGGTATAGCTGTTGGTATGGCTGCTCAGGAATGACCTATTTACACCAGGTTCTGTCTTAACAACTGTACTTTGAATGCATTTTGTTATTTTTTTTTATTAACCAGAAGTGGTCCTTAATATATTTAATATTTTTAGTGTCCTACAGATACCAAAGCAACGTTTGGGGTCCACATAAAAATAGTAGGAGACTGGACAGGTATGTAGAAAAACAATTCCTTTTCAGAGACAAATACCTTTACTTGAATTGTTCTCCCTTTCTGGCTTCAGCACAATTGTTCCTTGACTGTGGTGTATTCTCTCTAGAAGTCGTTCATGCTTATTTTTCTAAAGTTGTTTTTATTACATTCTTGATGTAACCCCTGCTTTATTCAGATGTGCCATTTCTTCAGATAATGTTTTTCCAGCTACTAACAGATCTTCTGATCGCACTGTACTAATTTTCAGTGTTCCTCCATTTCTACCTCTACTTCTTATTTTTGGGTAGCCCACTGCCCCTGTGCATTGCAGTGCCTCTGTGTGTAGTAGTGTCTGCAGAAATGCTGAAATGTGCAGCTTTCAGATAAGCGGATTTTGATGCCAGCAGTTTGGATGGCAGCCAGGTTAATTAATGCCTATGGTACACTGAGATTACAGGTTTGCTTTCATGTTCTTCCATGCTCTTCCACTGCTCTTTGAATGTCCTCCAGATCAGGGGTGTAAGCCAGGATTCCCTGCAGAGGAGAATGGTAATTTGGTGCTCCCTGTGACAGTTGTATGCTCAAGTGATAGTTGTCATTATTTCTTGGCGGCTGACTTTCCTCCTGCTTAGCATAGCATTTCCTTGTAAGGAAGGCAAATACACAGCACCGTCTGCTTCATTTCTTATGAAGAAATATTTTCCGTGTTAATTTGTATCAGCTTGTGTGTTTGTGGAATTGAGTCAAATGAGCTTGTAGCCCTAAAAATGATTAGACCAATACAGGGATAATAAGTCCATGAATATTTGTTGAACTTTCTGGTCTGGCTGCATACTTGCCTGTGGAAGACTTTAATATGCAAAGGTTGTGAGGGCAATGCCATATGCACATATGTTCCATAATCACCCTGATTTTCTGTTCTTGCTTGAAGTATAGGATGTTGGCTAGACAGGGGCAGATTATGGGCGTAATTAACCTCTGTTTTGCCTCAGAATGGTGGCTCTTTTATTGTTAAGCAGCATTTCTAGGTGGGAGAGGACAGTAGGCTATTTGGGAGAGTGGAATGGAGAAGTACTGGCTAAATGAACTCTCCAAAATAAGTGGCATCTTTCAAGTTTTCTGATTACCTCTGTGGTATGAACTGCTCTCTGTTAGCATTTAAATATTATTCCCCCAACTCAGTATTTGTAGTCTCCACTGAGAGAAAGGTCTGCCTATGTTGGACTGTATGAGATTCAGGACACTGTCACATTGTAGTGCTGTCAAGAAGCAGATGGCTTACCCAACCCTTTATGCTGCATCTGTGCCATGGAGCCCTGTTGTCACTCGCTCCCTTAAGCCCTGTGACAATTAGTGGTCTCTAATCTGCTGACTGTTGGAGGAAGGATTATTATATTTGCCACATTCCTTATTATCTTTCTTAAGCAGGCTCTAAAGGCTTCTTCTGCAGACAGGATATTAGATTGGAGGAGTTTTTATGAGACATACTGTCATTTGAGCTCTTCTTTTGACCTATTCTCTCTGCCTTTATCCTATTTATTAAAATTCTCTTTTGTATTACATTTTTACATTCCTGACAGTTTATACCTGACACCAAAGAGACTTAGCAATTTTTTTCAGAGAACTCAGTTACAAGCCTAAATTAAAAGGATGCAAGAGGAGTGCAGATATGCCGTAAAATGCAGAGAAGAACTACTTAATTTCTCCTCTGGATGGCTTTAGCTTGTGCTGTCTGTTCCTGGGAGATGTGGTGAAGTAGCAATTTCCTGCCATAAGCTGTAAGGACAGGAGAGGGGATACAGATTGCTGGCAAACCGATTCTGCTAGTTGTTTGAGGTCAAGTCTCTTAACACTAAATCTTATGTTTTGAAAATTAATTAGAATATCTTGTAGCCTTAACGACTTTGTTTTGTTGGTTGGGAAAGCAACTGCATGTCAAGAGAAAAGATAAGGGGTAATAGTATTTTCAGCTACTGATGAGAAGGTGCTGTTGATGGGAAGTCATTTATTGCCCATATCCCAGTACATATCATTTTAGATTTCCAGTAGAATAACCTGAAAGAAGTGACTTCTGGAAGAGTTAGTCACTCTAGAAATAATGCATTGCATAGGAGCAGATATTTAGTAAATTTTCAGGCAATAGTGTTATTTGCTTTTAAAAATCAATGATTTGAATAATGAAAGATGTAGGACAGAAAAAGTAGGGAAGAGAGGAAGAAACCTCAGAAGCGGTAGCTCTGAGACCTTTGCAAACAAAATGGTAATTCAGACCCCCTTTCTCGTGCTCCATTCAAATGAAATGGTGCTATCTGAACTTGGGAGAGCTCAGAATGTGCCCTTTTCAGAAGCAGATTTGGATAAAGGCAGAAATTTTCCTCCCATTATGTAGGCACCCACATCCTTTTCTGATTTAAATCTGAGATCTTCTATTTCTCACCTGTTTTGTGGTGGTATTGGTAACTGTGTAGTGCTTAACTTTCATGTTCATCATAGAAAACAGTCACACAAGCACTAGTATTGCTGTAATGTGCCCTCAGATGCCTGTAGGTCTGATGCCTATTTCAGACAATTTCACCTAAAATATTTCCCATAGCTCCCTTTGTAGGCCTCTGACCTGTTTGTGTGTCTAGTTTAGGATGAGACAGGCCAGGCTCAAAGCATCCCTTTACCTCTTTATTCATCATAGGTATATTTATCACTGCCTCAAAAGTAGTTAGTTTAATTAACTGACAACTGGTTGTGATTTTTCCCATGTAAAGGTTCCTAACTTGGTTTTTCCTTCTTTCTTTTGTCTTATGCCATGGGTATTGTGAATATTGGAACAGCTATTATAGATCTCCCTAAAAAATGGGGTTTGGATCATTTAGTTACTGTCCTCGTGCTGCCATGTGACTACTTAAGCCAAACCTATGGTATTAGCAAAATATTCCGTGGCATTGTGAGACCCACAGCTGTAGAACACAGCTTAGTTCACCTGTCAGACACCTGAGTTACAGTGTGTTTACAGTGGCTGACCTGTGGTGATTGCACACGTGCAGGTTGGGTTAGTCCCGTGGCTCAGAGCTAAGTCAGCCTGTTTTCCTCTGTGACTGCTTGGCAGTTGTCCCAGCTGAGCTGGTGGATTGCAGCTTCAAACCATACAGTAACACTGCGGGCCCTGCAATGACTCATACACGGGTCAGAGCTGTGAGATCCATGGCTGAGCCAATAAGCTGATCTTGTTACTGACCTCCCCTAAATAGTTGTTTTGTTCTGCTTCTCTTGTATCTCTGTGGTCACCTCTTTTTCCTTCAGCTTTGAGGCAATTGTTGGTTTAGTATTTACAAAAGGATTTTTTTTTAACTTTCTTTTGTCTCACTGTCTAGTTTGTCCTCAGAGCTGTCATCTAATTGGCATTATGCCTCCTCTGTCCTTGCTGCTGCCTCAAGTACTACTGCTTGCTTAGTTTTAAAGCTGACATTTCATCTGGCATCTCTGGAGGGGAAAAAGAGAGGCCACAGGCCATGCCTTGCATCCAACAACTTGACAGCAGTGAAAAAAAAACATAGCAGTGTATCAAGACAATGTGTCTCATTCACTAGACAAGCTTCAGGGTGTGAGACATAAAGTGATATTGATGATGCAGAAGTAACAGGCTTCAGAAGCCATGCAGCCTGTGTTTTTATGGAAAACAAATACAGAGCACTGAGAGGTGTCAAGGTGAGCTGCGTGCCTCAAGGCAGTAAAACATTGCTGTTATTTTGCAGTGTGTTGCTGGTACAAATTGATGTGGGACCGTGTTTAGAGCACTGATGCTGTTCTGTGCTCCACAGTAGTTTTATCTTGTAGTAGTGACGCCATCCTGCTGTGTGGCTGTGTGTGATCCTGGAGACGCTCGCAAGGCCTGTCCTGAGCAGCATGATGTTTATTGTGGGAATGCCCTATGAGCACTTTAATACCACCCACTGAATCTGATATTTGTGCCCTGTAGTTTACTAAATGTCATGGCAGTGGGAGGTGGGGATGTGTGCTGGAACTGCCCAGCTAGAGCGAGAACAGACAGATTATGGGGCACCGATCTGCATCACCCTAATAAACTCATCAGAAAAGATGTGTCTTTGCTTAGTTCTTTGTGCTACAAATGAGGATATGCATGGTCACTGGGTCATTTAGGCACAGACTACCTTGTTTTGAATCCTGACATGGTATGAAGGAAATTTTTGTCAGATACTGTCTCAGTCCTTTTTTTCTGGAAGGTCCAGATTTGGAGCTGGAAGTTTCAGGGGTAAAAAACAAACAAGCCATTTTTCAGTTAAAAACAACAATTTTCCAGAACATGGCAAATGTATGAAAGCATGGACCTTGTTTAAGTCCCTATGGATTAAGACCTGAGACAGCAAACAGTACACACCCCGAATTTCTTATTTTTAAACAGAAAAAAAAAAATTAAAAAAAAGGCAGTTGCTTGCAATTTTGGAGGCTGACTAAGGATTTTTGTCATGCTCACCAGAAGAAAATAAACATACTTTTTAAGTGGTTCTGAAGGAAGAATGATTTAAACTTTCTGGTCTGGGAGGCTTTGTCGGGAGTATCTGCATGACCTTGTTAAACCCTTACAGCTCCTGATTTAGAGGATGCCTGAAGTATCCCAAGGCTTATTGTGCATTGCTGCACTTACCTGGAATTTATCAGCAAGTGTAGGACCTAGCAAAGAGGCAATATTTTATTTCCAGTAACCCTGAAGACAGGTTAAGATGTAGTGAGGTAGTGGATCACTCAGTCAGTATCTACTGTAAGGTTAGTAGGTCTTGATTCAGACTGGTGGAATGTGTGGAGCAGAAGATGACAATAATGAATGATAAGACTGCAGAGTCAGCCTGCAGGATGTGACAAGGTTGTCCCAGGTTCACTGTATCTGCTACTGAGTTGCTTTAAAAATATCCACTCACTGGTGATGAACAGTTGGTCGACTCTTGCTATTACCTCAAGGCTCTGTTTGATTTGGGCCTTTTCCATTCCATAGTAACATATATTTAGTTGT